TACATGCTTGCATACTTACATAGATGCCTACATCCTTTTATGAAAATGCCCAATTAAAGGAGTTCACTCAATACACAAACACAAAGAGAGCTATGCCTTTTCAATATCCAGATGAAACTAAACAAATTCAGATTGAAAAATTAACACACTCAAATTGAGTCTTATCATCTTCAAAGTGGTATCTAAAGATTTCAAAATGAAAACTTAACAAACAATTGTTTTAGTTGACATGGGAAATAGAATAATGGTTGAAGATATCTCTCCTGGTTGATTAAGTTGTATACTGAAATAAGAAAAATGGGAGTCTTAAGCAGCAAAATGTACTATATTCAATAAAGAAAATTGGATTGAATTAACATTACTGGGCACGTCAACTGCTAGTCATTAGCATCTTAGGAATCCCATACTTCTGCCAAAGAACTTCAGCAGAAATTTCAAGCAAATCACAAAATTTCCAATTTCCATGGAATGTTTGAAGAAACATTTTGAAGGGATTTTGTTATTTTTGTGTAATATTATGGAATAGAGTGTTCCTAATTCACATTCAAATCGTTATTTTCTCTGTTTTGAATACAATGGGTCTTCGTTTGAATAAGTTGGTCTTGGTTTTAGTTCTCAAAGGGATTGTATTTGCTCTCAAATCTCTCCATGCTCACTTTGGATGAACTGTTCTCAATTTGAAGGCCTAGGAGGGAAAGATGGCGAGGAGAAGACAGGATGACAGTGTTTTGTCTTTAAGAATTTGAGGGCAAGTGAGTGGGGAGACTTGGTAAACAAAAGCAAAGAAATGACATGGAAAATGTTTTCACTGAAATTTAAAGTCAATTTTAATTCAGATTTTACCTCCTTGATCTTATCCAACTCATGAACATTGAGATGGCACTGCAAATATACAGGATTTGCAAAATTTTTATTGCATTGAAAACATGACCATGTCTTTAAAGATTCACCACAACCTGCAAACAAGAGAAGTACGATATAATCATAATGGATATTTAAAACAATATCATGTTATAATTCATTATTCAAATTTTTTATATTTTACCTTGTGTATCAAATTTCATAGGCAGAAGAGATGGCAAACCATGCTTTCTTGCATAAGGCAAACTATACCAAACACGTAACTCTTGCTTTGGATGGATAACTTTTGTTGTAGTATAAAATAAAGACTGACCCTGTTGATTTAAAATTAAATTCTGTTCCTTGAAACAAGAGGCTGCACGAACATATGTCATCCAGTTCGATGTGTCTGAAATGGGGGAAAAAATTTATGCAAAGATCAAGAATCATAAAATAAGTAGATATACACATAACAATTTCATGTTGCGATAAATTGCACCAAATAATCATTAGATAAATCTCGCAGTTAAATCATACATGATCTATTAACACAGAGTTTAATTGAACCAATATTTCTTCTCAAATTAATCGGTTCAATTTACTTGTAGGCATGTTGTTTGTAACGATTATTTGGTCAAATCTAACAAATTTGTGATCGGTGCCATTTTATAAAATATGACCAATTAAATGTTGAAATTAAGGAGTATTCCAGGAATTTGGATTTGTGCATTGTAAAAGTTGAACATGCATGAAACTGCAGTGTTACGTATTGAAATGATGGGGTACACAGTGATTAAAGAACAGCAATCAATCAATATACCTGACTACTGGAAAAAGATGCCGCTTCTTAGACAGTCATCACCTTCTTCATGTGCCACTTCTTAGACAATTGCCTACAATATCATTACCTCTAGCTCTGCTTCTTTCAAGACTCCTCTACTTTTTCTGAAAAGCTGCTCTAAGATTTTGTAATAATGTCTTGTCTGCTTCTTTGAAAATGTTTTTGCTGTACGTAATTAACTCCTCATATCCTTTCTTTTTTATACTTCTGATTGAATATATTCAGAACTAATCGTTTTCCATAAACACGGGTTACTATGTTACAACTGTAATCCCATAAAAAATTCCTGTTTCACCTTTTCTTAAACTACCATGAGTATGTAATCCTACAATTCAAATACAAACAAGCTCGGACATGTCATATCGTGGTTTGCAAATATCAGCATATATTTTGACAGATTTATCTGCAGATAAATTGTGTATATGTCAAACAACAAAAAGAATCACTTCGAACTATTGCCAAATTATTGCCTCATACAACTCATTTAAGTACTCAAGTAATCAACTCAAAGTAAGTAACTCAGTAGAGTAAGTACTCGACTAATTTCTACAATCCCTTAACAAAGTTTTTATCTGTACAATTTCGGATATAACAATAAATTCTTCAGATTGTTCGATAAATATATCCCCCTAATGGGGTGAAATGGGACAGTGTTAATCAATTTTTCATTTTGAAACAAGACCTAGTGTTTTACAATTTTTATATCGTGTAATACGTATTTAAACAAGTGCTGGATCAACTTAATACTTATTTATATCTTCTGAGCAAATTAAAAAACAACAAAATGTCTGGAGTCATCCGAAGTGTGAACTTTCACTTCAGACTTCATTCATTTTCCACAGATGTACATGTACTGTATAGATGCGAGATATCAAACCAAAATAAACATTTTTAAAAGAACTGTTTTATTGAACAGATACACAAATAATTAAATTAAATATTATGATGTACTAAACACAAGCTAAGAAAAATTATAGCAATAGAGATAATATTCTAATAGATAAAAATGAATACCAAGAGCTAATAAGACCATTTTGGAGGCCTCAAAGGAAAAAAGGAGGGATCAGACTGCAATGGGAAAGACAATAAGATCAACCAAGACAGAAATAAAGAAAAAGGAAACATAATAATGATAGCAACATAGAACGTTCGCAGACTAAACTACAAGGAAAAGGATTTAGAATGGGAACTAAATGAACATAAAATTAAAATTGCCATCATAACACAAACTAAGAAGGGAGCAGTCAGTTTGAAAATGGAACTTTTTGTAATGATCTATACAGGAGTTCAAGAAAAAAGGGAATCATCAGGAGTTACTGTAATGTTGGACAAAAAATTAAAAAATTGATAATATAGAAAGTGAATAAATATCTGACAAATTAGTAACAGTGAAATTAGAAATTGACCTACAAAAGTAAATACAACATGAATCTAACGCCCAGCAGGAGATGAGATTGAAAAATCAGTATCAGTGAACAACAACTTATGAACTCTAAACAAGTAGCTGATTGAGCGGTACAATTCTAATGCACATTCAATGCACAAAGCATCCAAAAAGGCTGTGAACAGATTTACTGTACCAGGAACCAAAAATAGCCATTTCCAGAGGCCTAAATCATACAACTGAGCCACATCATTCAGAGAGTATCAAGTGACTTTTGCCATTCATCCCCTTGCATGCCCTGGGACAGCTAGCCCACTTGTTGGTGGCACATGAGCAGTCTATAAGGACATTGAGCTGTAAAGTTGTGGGCCCTAGTTATTTTGACAGAGGGATTCCAACAAAGTTGTTAAATGGGAAAGAGCATAAGATTATCATTTTATCATATTCAAAATTCAAATTACAAACCACAGTAAATCTCAAGATCTATTTTTAATTTATGATTAGAGAATAATTATGTTAAAAATTAAAAGGAAAAAAAAATGGCCACAATTTCAAATGAAATTCCCTGAATTTTCCCTGACTTTTCCAGATCAATGTAATTCGTAGACTTTGCCTGGTTCTGTAGGAAGTAGAACACCCTCTTAACTTTCATACTATTACAGATGGTACAAGACCATTTGCTTCTGTTACAGTCACTCGTTTCATTTGTGGGGAAAAAATATACTGAGATGATAAGTGACGAAAGTATAAACCAACTGCCTGGTTTGCCTGTCCCGCAAGTTCGGTCTCTTCTGCTGGGGCTTGCCACATGCCCACGGGGCAGGCCATGCCGAGATAGAGGCCACAACGGGCAGGAGACGTAATGGTGTGTAAGGGAGAAGGGGGAGCGAGGTGTTTTCCCAAATTTCACTTTATGACGCTATTCATCCAATTTGCATGATTAACACAGTTGGATTGTACAAGCTTATCGCCATCGTGCTATAAGCCCACATTTCTTAAATTGTTCTTGGAAGATTGAGTACCAATTTCATCAAATGATCCAATTTCAATTTCAAAATCCAAACATGATCCAATTTCAATTTCAAAATCCAAACATGATCCAATTTCAATTTCAAAATCCAAACATGATCCAATTTCAATTTCAAAATCCAAACATGATCCAATTTCAATTTCGAATTTATGGTAGTTTTGGAAAAAGGGCTTCGAAACGTAAATTTTATTTTGCATTTACATATCCAAAATCGGACCATTGGTTCTGACTTTATCGTTAAAGTAAATTCCTGTGATAGTGCTTGAGATCTATTGAATTTTCCCAGAAGTATTCTATCTTTACTGAAAGACTAGTAACGCAAATTTAATACACAATATTTTCAGTGTGTTAATGAGTTTGCTCTCATTAACATTCAAAGAGCAGAAGGAGCAGTTCAAGAAGAAGAAGAAGAAAAAGAAGAAGAAGAAGAAAAAGAAGAAGAAGAAGAAAAAGAAG